TCTAGAACAACTGTTAAGAGGAGACTGCGCCAATCAGGCCTTCATGGTCAAATAGCTGCTAGGAAACCACTGCTAAGGAGAGGCAACAAGCAGAAGAGATTTGTTTGGGCCAAGAAACACAAGGAATGGACATTAGACCAGTGGAAATCTGTGCTTTGGTCTGATGAGTCCAAATTTGAGATCTTTGGTTCCAACTGCCGTGTCTTTGTGAGACGCAGAAAAGGTGAACGGATGGATTCCACATGCCTGGTTCCCACTGTGAAGCATGGAGGAGGAGGTGTGATGGTGTGGGGGTGTTTTGCTGGTGACACTGTTGGGGATTTATTCAAAATTGAAGGCACACTGAACCAGCATGGCTACCACAGCATCCTGCAGCGACATGCCATCCCATCCGGTTTGCGTTTAGTTGGACGATCATTTATTTTTCAACAGGACAATGACCCCAAACACACCTCCAGGCTGTGTAAGGGCTATTTGACCAAGAAGGAGAGTGATGGAGTGCTGCGGCAGATGACCTGGCCTCCACAGTCACCTGACCTGAACCCAATCGAGATGGTTTGGGGTGAGCTGGACCGCAGAGTGAAGGCAAAGGGGCCAACAAGTGCTAAACACCTCTGGGAACTCCTTCAAGACTGATGGAAAACCATTTCAGGTGACTACCTCTTGAAGCTCATGGAGAGAATGCTTAGAGTGTGCAAAGCAGTAATCAGAGCAAAGGGTGGCTATTTTGAAGAAACTAGAATATAAAACATGTTTTCAGTTATTTCACCTTTTTTTGTTAAGTACATAACTCCACATGTGTTCATTCATAGTTTTGATGCCTTCAGTGAGAATCTACAATGTAAATAGTCATGAAAATAAAGAAAACGCATTGAATGAGAAGGTGTATCCAAACTTTTGGCCTGTACTGTAGATTAGCCAGCAGCTTGCGGAGATTCTACTCATAGAGCCAGAAACAACAGCAACATTTAACAAAGGTATTATCACAAAATTTGGCTCCATCACAACTCACAAGGTTCACTGACAAAACGAAGTCTTCTACTAAACACGTTTTCTAAAGAAATACAACATTCTAACGTTATTAGCACAAGCCTATGGCATTTTTTATATTGTATAAATTAGCCTAGCTACTAGCGGAGATTTCCACACACACAAGACTGTTATTTTGTGTGGGCTTTGTTATCCTTACAGTTTATTTTTCTTATCTGGCAAATAAAAGTAAACAAAAGCTTTGTTTCCACTGAGGGAAATGGTTTTCAGCTTACAAAAATAAACAGGAGGTCTGTGTCGCTGCAACATGCAGTTACGCTTCTGGGGAGGTGCACGTCAGGCTACGGCTTAGGTATGCTGTTGATTCCATGCAGAAGTATAAATCCCATTTGCCTTTCTCCCCCAGAGATCAGAAGTGTAATGAGCTGAGGAGGGGGGCTGGGGGTTGGCAGGAACCGTTATGTTGTTGTGGCCTTATGTAATATTTAAAAAATAACAGTAGTAACAGTATTAGTAGAAAATAGTAAAAGATAAACATTTCAACTTTATTTCTTCCCTCATATCTGGCACCACTTATGGATGACAAAGTGACAGCGCATGACAGTAGAGACTGGGGCACTACATTGTAATAAGAAAAGAGAGAATAGGCATAAATCATCTTCCTTTATTCTTATCATTGAGGGTAGCTGCACATAGGTGTACCTAATTAACTGGCAGCTGAGTATGCTATGTTTAATAAAACAGAAGTTCTTTGTATTTCCCTGGTAATTGTTTCCCCACAGTGAAGGCACTAACACAAAGAGGGGATTTGGTACAAAAAATATGTAACTTACCTCAGGTGAATCCTGGTAAATTGGAACAATGGGTGAAGTGGGACAGTTGAGCTTTGTCATCTTTATCTTTACATTACTTCATTACTAGAAATTAACACTGAGCACATCGTTAGCAAGAATGTGATTAAAAGATGTAGCCTACAGGTTCCGTGGCTAAAAAGTAAAATAACATAGTGTTCTAGGGTAAATAATGTTTAGGGTTTTTTTAAATAAAATGATGGATAGGTTATCATGGTTATAGGCTATATTTCCTTGGGTATGTTATGGTGAATTAAATTTTTGAGAAACCACATTGATATTCAGTTTTTCTGCATACAGTTTGCCAATAGCATACTGTTAAAGTGGGACAGTGTCTTACTGGTAAAGTGGTAGAGACTAGGGCCCGACTGATATGGATTTTTTGGGGCCGATGCCGATTCCGATATTATGGAATAAAAAATTCCAATAACCGATATATCGGCCAATCAAATTTTTACATTTTTCAATTTAAAACCCCCCGAAATACCTGCTTTTGATGGCTAAAATATAGTTCAAACACTCATTACAAAGATATAAATTGATGGAAGAACATTTTACTATTTTCAAACACTTTTATTATCAGAAATTGTGTGGAACAAGCAGCATATGAACAATTTGAACACAAAATAAATCAAAAATATGATGTGCAAAAAGGCAGTAAACCTCTGGGAAATAAAATAATAATGCAAAATCTATATGAATTAAGACATTCACATGTATGTTCACAGCACCAGAGTTCTTCTTATTATTGCCAATTTAACAGAGGTAGGTTACAGTGCAAAAAGTAACACAAGGACATCATTTCTAAGTAAAACACCATATTCCCTGCATTGTATTAGTGATGAAAATATAAGTGTTAACAATGGCGTCAATCGACCAACTTTTGGCCGATTGCCAATTATTCTCTAATGGCTATAATTGGCCGATTAAATGGGCGGGCCGATAAGTCGGTCGGGCCCTAGTAGAGACAGCTATTCAACTCATTCTAATAAGGGAATTGAATTCCCTTTTTATGTGACCTTCAGAAATTTAACTAGCTAACCAGATATTTCAACAAGGATTTACTGAACAACTGAACATTTTCCATACACTGCCTAAAACATCAAACAAAGCCTGCCAAAAAAAGAAAGAAAAAGAAAACAAGGAAGATGGAGAGTAAAGTTTGGATGGCCAGGATATTTGCAATATTTGCAAAGCCATATGATGATTTAAAAGATCCCATGAAGACTGAGGATTAGATCATGTGTATTGTTTGGCCTATGAGATATGTGGTGAGGAGAATGGCCTCATAGAAGATGGGGAGGCATTCACTTGCGCTGGCTGTAGGCCTAGTGACGTGTAAAATAATCTACTGTACAAACAGCAGAAGTCAAATTTAGCCTGTGTGAGTTAATTATTAGAAGAGATGTTCATGAAGGTTCCTCTTTTTATATTAAAAAAAAAATTAAACCCATTAAAAAATAGTGCAAGAGGGCCAGGAGGGCCAATAAAGGTGTCCCACTTTGACAGTAGCACCTGATAAAATGTGGGTTTGGGTTACTGTGAGTTTCAGGAAGAGTCATCCATCCCGTCTTTAATATTTATTTCTTTTTTCTTCTGCATTGTGTATTTGGGCTCTGAGGCTATTTAGAATAGTATCATATGTAGGGCTAAGACATTTGGATCATGATTAAAAATGACGCAGAAGGGAAATTATCAGAAAATGTCGCACTTTACCCATATTCACTCTACTTGATTTGTCTAATTCAAACTTTTAAAGCCTCATATTTAAGTTTGGAAAGCATTTAAATGAAGCAAAATGAATGAAATCAAATACACCTGGGGCTTTGGGGGGCCATTGATCTATTCTTCTCATATTACGCAGTTGGTAATCCAGCCTTCCTTTAGCATTTCATGTATAAATAGGCACACATTTTTCAACCAGAGATTCACTAAAAAAGATGCAGGATGATGGTGTCCAGATTACAAATTCAGTCTTATAAATCTGAGCACAGTTAAATTAATAGGTAAAAAAAACTTTCAAGTAGCTTTGAAATAAGACAAAAAGGCCAATTTTGCTTGCAATAAACATCGCTTAATAAATTAATGTAAAAAATGTTTAAAATCTATCTATCTATCTATCTATCTATCTATCTATCTATCTATCACACGCCTCTTTTAGGGAAAGGTTTCAGAGAGTAACCCTACATAAGCTGTTCTCCAATAATGGAATGTCTGTTTTCTGTACAAAACAAAATGACTACTGATGCTAGACAATGGCTTTGAATGTTTCGCACCATTCCTTCCATTTTTGAAATGCTAGCTCTCAACAATACAATTTTTATTAATATAACATAACAATAATTTATATTACATTATCTTATTAATTACAGTTGATACATAAAGACTATTTTACTCCTTTTCCTGCACCATATATATTTGAATTTAAATAAGTACAAACAAAGACGGTGGATAAACCAGTAATCCAGTATCTTTAGTACAAACAGAGATACTGGATGAAACGAGATACCCAACTCAGCTCACTTCCTGATTCAGTGACGTCAGCGCCACGCCCCCGTAGGAGACTTGCGGCAGCTCTGAATGTATTGTCGTCAATGAGGAAAATGAACGTGATCACAATTTATGGTCAATTCTTTCGCCCAGTAGTCACTAAAGTAAATATTGGGTTCATTTTCCACAAGCCACACATCTTACCAACATTCTGACACTAAAGCTGCATTTTTCATCCGCACAGATCAAGAGAAAATTAACTTTGTTTGAGCCCTGTCCGTCTCAGAAAACAAGTTCTCGCGAGATCTCGTGATCTTGATAAACAGGCGGTAAAATCAGTTAGTTTACAAAGTTATTTACCGCTAGTAATAAATAAAAAATGCCCAAGCTTTGTGCAGCAATAGGCTGCAATAATAGGAAGAATGTATTTTCATTCCACCTGCTTCTCGATCCGTATACACAGACATCTACAGAGCCTCTGTTCAACACGGTGGTGGGGAGGGGGGTTGAGGGAGAACAGGCTCTGATTGGAGGGAGAGCTAACCACGCCCACTTAGGAGACAGGAAGAGTAACCGTTTTCTTAACATTGGATAAGCCTACAGTTGGGTATCTCCCTTCATCCAATATCTCTGGTACAAACACAGCCTACACGTAAAGCACCTGATTTTGCGACATTTCCGGTTGCTGCTGTGTCGTTTTGCTTTACGACAATTGTGATAAACCAGAAGAGTGAACTGCTGGCTACAGAGTTCTTTGAAAAGTCAGGTGATGTTTTCCACCTGAACGCAAACAAAAAACGAAATGACCTGAGGTACGACAACTTGATGACTGCCCTACATGCCAGCTGAAGGATTTGGCAATAACTCACGATGCGACAAACAACAACACATTTTCAACAGTTTTCCTTCTCAGCGCTAGCTACTTAGCTAAGCTAACTTAGCCAGACGCTAACGAAGCCAGTTTGTCAGCTTTCACTCTGGGTAACTTGTTTTGAGTGCGACCAGAATTCGATGTGACATCCTGGAATTTCCGACCTTAAGCACCCTGGGTGCCGTTTGTAAACGCTGACTCATAGCTGGGCTTCCTTAGTTTAAACACACAATGTGGCTACAGCAAAGACTGAAGGGGCTACCAGGCTTATTATCGAGCAGCTGGGCGAGAAGATTGCTCATAGGACTGCTGCTCTTCATCATCTTCTACTGGTATCTGGGAGCAGAGCGCAGATGGAGCTTCTTCAGCGGCTCGACCATGCCCGGTGGGGCTGCCGGACAGTGCCTACTGACTGAAATCCACAGGTGGAAGTCTTTCGTAGAACGAGGAGAGGGGATATACAGCGCACCTCAGGAACAACTAGATACACCTTTTGTATCAGGTAACGGCCATATTCTTATTGACATTGACTCCAACAAACTATGGGTAGCGTCGTCGGCCCAGCCCGGCTCGGCTCCGGTCCACCAGACTGAATACTCACCGAGAGTCGGTGTCCACCTGGAGGGGAAACGTGCTGAGGCTCATGCTACCATGCTGTGGTTCCGGAAAGGATCCGTGTTGTCGGTCCGCTGTGCCACACCAGCCGCTCTGCAGTCACCCCGGGACTGTGTCACCATCAGAGAGGAGTTCATCGCGCATAGAAGCAGACCTAACGTGTATCTCCAACGAATCCACATCAACAACCCGTCTGACAGGGCCGCCTCCTTGGAAGTTTCGTCTGACAACCCCTCCTTTGGTAACAAGTTTTCCAGCAGTGTGGAGAAAGTGGAGGACAGAGACATAGTGCTCTCCTCTGGTAGAGTGCCTGTGGAGAATAACCACATGGTGCTGGTGGTGGTGGTCACCAAGAAGCTCATCGGCAGGATCCAGGTCTCTGCCAAATCAGATTACAAAGACAGCATCCTGTCAGTGGTGTGGACCTCAGAGCCCATCGAGCCCTCCAAGCTGGAGGAGACCTTCAGCACCCTCAGAGATGGAGCCAAAAAGGAGCTGGGGGAGCTGCTCAGGGCCAGTGTGGAGGACCTAGTGGAGGATCACCAGCAGGCCTGGATGGACCTCTTTATTTCAGGTGAGCAGAGGTTGGAGCACCAACTGGCTCTGAGTTTTAAAGAAGCATACTAGGGTTTAAGGGATCATAGTCCATTTACTAACAATCACATATGTGGCATATGGAGCAATGGCTGTCTGAAATGTTAGCAAGAACACTCAAAAATGTAAAATAGTACAGCATGCCTTAGAAAGTAGTCATTAAATCAGCTAAAACATACTAATACACTGATATGTTCTTTTGAAGGTCAAAGATCATAATAAATGTTATAATCTTATACTAGCTACATTTACAGCAGGGCTATAAAAGCACTTAGCCTAGATACCGATTGATACATTAAAGGCAATGATAGAACTGTGAAGAGAACACATGACCTCGGCAGAGCTAAACTCTATAGGGATTTTATGACAGATACTGTTTGCTCACGTGTTCTCACAGTAGGTTAGGTTGGTTTTAAACATTACATAGCCTTTAAAGATGTCAGTGTTTGTTTGGGTGGTTGCAGCAGTGTCTGCGTGGAGCCCCAATCCTTTGCTGTCTGGAAATGTGAGTATCCTCTGCTAGGAGCTAAATAAGGCAGAAACAGACAGTTGTGTACTTAAGATAACATAGTCATCACCATACCCTGGGAGCTTTCTTCTGTTCCACAGGGTGACAGTCTCACTAAATAATGTTTTCAGTAGGGATGTCCCAATCCAGCTTTTTCACTTCCGATCCGATACCGATATTACAGCCTTAAGTTTTGGCCGATACCGATACCAATCCGATCCAAGCGCGTATTATACATATTCACTTATTTTGTTGTCAGTCATGTTAGAAAAGGTTTGATCATGGGGCGTCGGTGGCTTAGTGGTAGAGCAGGCACCCCATGTACAAGGCTGTTGCCGCAGCGGCCCAGGTTCGACTCCAGCCTGTGGCTCTTTGCTGCGTGTCTCTCCCTCTCTCTCTTCCCCTTTCACTCTTCACTATCCTATCAATTAAAGGCAAAAATGCCCATAAAAATATCTTTAAAAAAAAAAAGAAAGAAAAGGTTTGATCGAGCAATATTACTCTAACAAGAACAACTACTTAATCGGGTTAGGTAGAATGATCCACAACAGTTGGTATGAGAAACTGACCCGTTTATTGTTAACAGGGTTAAAGAAACAAACTTTAAACTTGAACATTAACATTAAATAAAAAATATAGCTGGTTTGCTTTGGCTGCTTTGGCCCCTTAATAAATAGAAAATAAATCAACACAAGAAATCTTTAAAATGTCTAACACTGAAATTAAAATAGCAGCAAGACTCCACACACTTGTGCTTTGCCCCCCTAATGAATGAAAAATAGATTAACACCACAAGACATTGTTGACATATAACAAACAATGCAGCCTCTCCTTTTCAGTTATTTTAGTAGTGTCAGTGCAAGCCTGGTGCACAGGCACACAATATTGTACAACTGTTTAAACAAACAATAGTCCATCCATGGCTCCAATTTCACTAATTGTGCCCAAAACAATGCCATCAGTGCTCTTTACTTAAACAGTAAGAGTGTAAACCAAATAAAAATATCACTCTCAAAAAACCAGAGCAGAAAACAATTAGTCAATCAATCAGTCAATCAATCAGTTTTATTTAATTTGCCTCACAGTGCTTTACAGCATACAGCATCTCTCTGTCCTCAGGACCCTCACAGCGGATAAGGAAAAACTCCCCAAAAAAACCCTTTAACAGGGGAAAAAAACGGTAGAAACCTCAGGAAGAGCAACTGGGGAGGGATCCCTCTTCCAGGACGGACAGACGTGCAATAGATGTCGTACAGAACAGATCAGCATAATAAATTAACAATAATTCGTATGACACAATGAGAGAGAGAGAGAGAGAGAGAGAGAGAGAGAGAGAGAGATGCAGGACAGATGGTCATGACAGTAGCTTACAACAACATTAATGAAAGTAATAATATTATAGTTATAGTTCTGGCTATTGTGGTACAATATGTTGAAAGTATATATTAATATCTGGCAGTATACATGTGTGACAATAATCATATGTGTATAATAACAGTAGAAGTATAACTAATGACTAATGATGGCAGCAGCAGCAGGAGGCATCTGGCAGGACCACGGCAGCACAACCACACATGTCACGCTATCCAGGCACCGCTGCGATATGAGTTAATCTGAGAGACAGTGGAGCACAAAGGCTCTGGAGAAGAAGCCGAGTTAGTGACATCCAGAATGGCAGAGTTAGCAAGATGCAG